CCATTCCCTCTCGTCCTCTCCCTCTCCTCCCCTCCTGCACCTTCTCTTGAGAGGAACACAGAGCTCTCGCCGAAGGAGCCAACGCCCACCATCTGCGTCATCATGAGAACCCAAGAGAGGAAGAAGAGAAGGAAAAGCAGGGAAAAAAGAGGAGGACGCAAGGTAAAGCAGGAGCAGGAGCAGGAGCAGGTGGTGGTAGAGAGGCAAGAGCAGGTGGTGGTAGAGGGGCAGGGGCAGGAGCAGGGGCAGGGGCAGGAGCAGGTGGTGGTAGAGAGGCAAGAGCAGGAGCAGGAGCAGGAGCAGGAGCAGGTGGTGGTAGAGAGGCAAGAGCAGGAGCAGGAGCAGGAGCAGGTGCTGGTGACCTGACAGAGAGGCCAGTCGAGCTCTCGGAGAGAAAGGCTATGGAGACAATCATCTCCCTTAGGAACAAGACCAGCGATTCTGAAGGAAAGTCAAGCGACGGCCTTGAACGAGCGAACGGTGGAATGTAGATGAAGGGAGGAGTGAAGGCAGGAAGAGAGCAGAGCAGGAAGAGGGAGAGGAGAGGAGAGGAGAGGAGAGGAGAGGAGAGCAGAGCAGAGCAGAGCAGAGCAGAGCAGAGCAGAGGAGTGGAGAGGAGTGGAGAGGAGTGGAGAGGAGTGGAGAGAAGAAGAGGAGAGGAGAGGAGCAGGAAAGCAAAGCAGTGCAGTGGGAGTAGCTGCTGCAGCTCAAGGGTTTGACCTGCTGATCAGCGGAGGAGGATGTTCGTTCAAGGGGCGATGAGGGGCGTCAGGGTTGAGGACAAGCAGGGTGTCCCATCCTTCGCTCCTCCCGCACTCTCTGGGGTTCCTGCTTCCTGGTTAGGGGGGCTAAAGAGCAGCTGCAGGGAGCGAGACGAGGAGGAGGGGAGAACATGGACAAGGACAAGAGGGACGAGGAAGAGGAGAGGAAAAGGACGGGAACGAGGAACACAACCAGTTCACCGACGGGCACAGCAGCAGCAGCAGCAGCAGCAGCAGCAGCAGCAGCAGCAGCAGCAGCAGCAGCAGCAAGGAAGAGTAGTGGTAACCTTACCCTCTCCTCCCCAGACCAGGAGAACATCCCTCGCACCCAGCCCAGTCCAGTAAAATGCTGGCCGACTCTCCCACCTCCTCCTCTCCCTCCCCATCCCCACCTCCCTCCCCATCCCCTGCCCCTTCTCTTCCTGCTCCTCCTCCTCCTCCTCTCTCACTCCCGTCTGCTACGTCAGCGCGAGGGACGACTCTTCCTCCTCCACTTGCAGCTCCTCCTCGTCCTCGAGGCTCGGAGACCTGCCGTCCTGGTCAAGGAGGAGGCAAGACAGGAGCCGGCGCTCACCGCAGCATGGCGGGACGACCAGTCCAACAGCGCCTCCCTCCTCCTCTCCTCCTCTCTCAGCCTCCTCCTGCGCACGCCCTCCTGGTCCCTTGCGGCTCGTACCGATGTGAGAGACTCGGTGCGCGTGCTCTGGAAGGCGGAGGAGCGGTAGATGCCGAGGACAAGCAAGGAGCCTCCGGGCTGATCCCCGCTAGTCCCGTACTGATAGAAGACGTGAGAAGAAGAGGAAGGAAGGGAGGAGGGAGGAGGTGTAGGAAGTTGCAGCAGCAGCAGCAGCAGCAGCAGCAGCAGCAGCTATTTGAGCACCTGTAGGTATAGAGGAAAGCGACAACTTTCATCAGACAGGAACCACCTGAGATGGGATGTCAGGGAGGAGCAGGAGGAACAGGAGAAAATCGAAGCAGAGCAGGAGAAGAGGAAAGGAGAGCAGCAGGGAAGTGTAGGGGCGGGGAGGGGGACGAGAAAGCATAACGAGAGATCCATGGAGTGACGAAGAGATTATAGAGGGAGAGAGGGAGAGAGCGAGGGAAAGGGAGGGAGGAGGAGGTGAAAACCTCTTGCAGAACTCAAGGATGGTGTCATGGCATCCAGTCTCCGGACTCGGGAAGGTAAAATCGAACAAACCAGCTCGAAATCCTGACGAAAAACACATGAACATCATAATCTTCTTCTTCTTCTTCTTCACCATCATCATCATCATTTCATCATCATCATCATCATCATCATCATCATTTCATCATCATCATCATCATCATCATCATCACCATCATCATCATCATCATCATCTCCATCTCCATCATCGTCGTGATCGATCTCTTACCAAGGTATCGCAGCACCACCGCACACTCCGTCGCTCCTATCGGAGTTGTTTTCCCCAGCAGCTTCCCAGCACCAAAATACTCTGCGCCCTGCCCCAACCAAGAGTTATCACGAGCCGAAAGAGCGAGGGGGCAGAATGGAGGAGGAGGACGAAGACGGGGACGAGGACGAAGGGGTTTGAGAGTAGGACGCAGGGCAGGAGAAGGGAAGGAGGAGGGTGAAAGGAGGAACTGAGGGATGAAGGGGTGCAACTACGAGAGCAGGGAGGGAGGGAGGGAGGGAGGGAGGGAGGGAGGGAGG